ATAGGAGGGACTTTTACTTTGATAAAAAAGTTCATGCAATGACTTTTTGATTCACGTAAAAAAAAAATTTTTTTTTTATTATCCATGTGGTAATAAATGATCTAGGTATATTGCGTCTAGATTTCACTTCAAAATATAATGGTGGTATTGTTTTCATATCTGCAGTACACACTAGTCTTATGGTTCTATGAGCGGGGAAAAGCCTTTCTTTTGTATGTATCACGAAAAGTAATTTTTCCGTATAGATCCAAACATTTATACACTGTAGAACGTTGATCCTTAATAAATGTTAATATAAACAAATACCAAAAACGAATGCCAATTTAATAAAATATATTTATGAATTCATCTGAAAAACAATCAAATGACTAGATATTGTATCAATTCGTTTATAAATAAGCCTATATGTGTTTATATTGGTACATGATTTACAAATAAATCACACCATAAGGTGTTTGATGGAGTCGTTGGTGCTTTGAGAAAAATCAGGGTCGGAGACAATACATTATCTTATATCTTTGAATAGTTTATGATCATAATCATACTTCTCAAGCAAGTAGCGCTGAAGTCGCAAATGTTGTTCAAATAAAGTACTAAGCTCAAAATCAACCTTCTTCAATAAAGTTATTCCTATATTATATGAAAATAAAATATGTAATGGGTGCTGGGAAAAGGGGTCAAATATATTTTGTGTTTCCCGTGTTTTAACCTTAATATAAATATAACTAAATATAGTTAGGAAAACAAAAGTATTATAAGGCTGTTTTCTTTATAAGTAAAAAAATGATTAAATCTATTTATGGTAATTCATAGTATTTGCGAATATTCTAAAGAATCTAGTATTAATTTAGGAAAAAGCTCTCCAAGGTCTTTGATTGAAGGTGAAACAGTAAATATGATTACTTTATCAGATAGATTAGTTATATTACATTACATGACCAGGACCCCGAAAAGGTAACAATGTAGAGTTTGCGTATGAGCCGTATGAGCCAAAATTTATGTGGATCATGTCCTTTTTTGATATTTCCCACCAGCATTATATAGTGCCGGCCCTGAAGAGATGCGTAGAGCTATTAGTAAATGTGTGCCGATTATTGCTCGGGGTCCTCAGATCACGATCTCCATTTTTTGCTTAGTTAATTTATTTTTACTTCAGCAGAGATCGGTGTTGATGTGTGGGAATTTCTTATCAGCTTCCGTTGCAGAGTCAGGTAAGTTATTATTAAAGTCATCCGCCTCAGCAGGAGTGACAACTTTAATATCTAGGGCCTTTTCTACTACAGCAAGGCGTTGTTGTGAAAATTTAAATTTGACGTAAAAGTCAGAAATAGCGTTAGAAATCAAGGTGAGTCTGGATGTGACAAATTGTTTGAAGTCCGAGTCGTGAATTGAACCTCCTGTTACTGTACCGTTGTTTAACTTCGGTGTTGGTAGGACTTCAGTTTCCATAAATTCATCGAATGGTTCATCCGCCCAATGTAGTTTAGGTTTATCATTAGGGGGGTTGAGGGAGGATGTATTGTTATTATTATTATTGATTTTATTTTTAGGTGGTAGGGGTGGAGGAGATCTCCTTTTTGATCCTTCTTGAGGATTAACGATCTGTTGTAGAGTTTTGGTCACGTGGGCAAATGTGATGTTGTCACAGACGGCTTCTCGTATTGGACTTCTTTTTGGTGCTGTATAATTATTAAACTGGGCTGGTTGAAATCTTTGGTAGAGATTTTGCATATTACGATCCTTGGGGGACTGGCGACGTCTTGTACAAGTAGAAGCATTATGATGTGCTAATGAACAAATTGCATATAATTTGGCTTTCAGATCGGTCTATTCCAATTTTTTGTTATTCAAAATAAGATTCTTTATATCCATAGCCGCTTGAACATCTTCTTTATTAGTAAAATAGAAGAATACATGTTGCAAATAGTTGTAGTTTGAGCGAGCTCTGGGGATGATCCATGCAGAAGCCGCAACCATGTTGCCAATATCATGGAGGTCACGTGGCATGATGTTTCGAAGGAGGTTTGTAAGTTTTGCTGAAAAGGCAGAACGGGCTTGAATTTCATTTCTGGAAAGGCTATAAGGATAATAGCGGATCATATCATTTAAGAGATAGATCCTGTCTCCCTTTTTTAGTTGTTCAAAATTTGCTTTTTCATCGAAGGTAATGGTGGCTCGTTGCCAAAGATTCCTGGTTTCTATGGTGAAATGGACGATATTTCTAAATTGAGAAAACAATTTCCTTAATCTTGTTTCTGTAGCGTTGTTACGTTGGGTTTCGTAGCTTCAAATAAAATCTCAAAGGGTAAATAAAACTAAGACAATTACTCAAGAAAT